AAAAAAAAAACTGAAGTTTTTCAAAAATAATACTGTCCCTAAAATATTTGATTAAAAACTTCAAGACATAATTTGGTAATCAGAGCTCTTATTTACTTCTTTTTTCTAAGATTTTTTTTTAAGTGGAAAGGCAGATACACAGAGAGGAGGAAAGACAGAGAAAGAGCTTGTATCTGACGGTTCACTCCCCAAGCCGCCGCAACAGCTGGAGCTGAGCCAATCCAAAGCCAGGAGCATGGAGCCTCTTCCCGGTATCCGAACAGAGGCAGGGTCCCAAGGCTTTGGGCCGTCCTGTATTGCTATCCCAGGCCACAAGCAGGGAGCTGGATGGGAAGCGGGGCTCCAGGATTGGAACCGGTGCCCATACGGGATCCCAGAGTGTGCAAGGCGAGGACTTTAGCAGCTAGGCTACCACACTGGGCCCACAGGTTGTTAACAACCTATCAGCTAGATGACATAAAACGTTCCTCCACAGTACTATGCCAATACAATTAAACCACGAATTATCGAGGAACTAGGCTGCACATAATAAAATAGGTCACAGTGAACAGTTTAATCGTTAATAGCAAGGACCCTGCAGCCAACAACAGTCTACTCCTAGTACTGTGACCTGGAGAAGGTTACCTAAACTTATCTCACATCGAGTTTGTACTCACAGTACAAACCTGACATGGTTTTGGTGAAAAAATGTTAAAAGGTTGTATAGGAAATTCTTACAAAATACACAGTAAGGGCACAGTGCAATGGCTCAGTGGTTAAATCCTCACCCTGCACACGCCAGGATCCCAGCTGCTCCACTTCCCATCCAGCTCCCTTCCGGTGGCCTGGGAAAGCAGTCAAGGAAAGCCCAAAAGCTTGGCGCCCGGAAGAAGCTCCTGGCTTAGTATTGGCTCAGCTCCAACCATTGCAGCTACTTGGGGAGTGATCCAACAGATGGAAGATCTTTCTCTGTCTCTCCTCTCGATAAAACTGCCTTTCCAATATAAAGAACTTGGAGCGCTTTATGTAACTTAAGCAGCTATTTGTTTTCTTGATTCTGATCTGCTTCAAATTGCAGAGAGCAAGCCACACCATTAGAATCACTTGTTTGAAAAAGCAGAAGCTAGATGTGCCTAGACGCATCTCAAATGTGCTAAAGACACAAGAGTCCAGCAAGGGCTGCACTCAACAGCATTATTTGCAAGTTTACACAGGGGCAAGCATTTGGTTAAGACGCGTCGGGGGATGCGCACACCCTATGACAGAGTACAGACCTGAGTGCAAGCCCTACTTCCCGCTCCAGGTGCCTGCTAAGGACCACATGGGGGTGGGAGTGATGGGTGATGGGTGAAGTCGTTTGGCCTCTGTCACCCACACTGGAAACACACACTGAATTGGCTCCTGGCTCCCTTCTAACCATCCCTGGCTGGTAGGGGCATCTTGGAACTAAATCAGTCAATAGAAGATCTCCTACGCTCTCTCCTTCTGATTTTCAATTAAGTAAAGAAGTTTATTCAAAAAGTACTCCTGGGATTAGCTTCTGCCTTCTTTACTCCCATGGTTGAAAGGTTGTGTCTGTTTTTCCAAGTCCTTCAATAGCTTTTTATTTATTATCTACTACTCAGCAGATCTCATCAGGTTAAGAAAACAGACTCCAAGTTCAGCTTTTAATTGCTGTACCAGCTTAATAACAGAACTTCCTTTTCCTCATAACATCAACGTTAGGTCCAGCTGAATAATTTCTAGTGTTGAAATGAACATTTATTTTAAAGAACATGGATTCACAGCCAGTACTGAGGCCCAGCACGTAAGCTGTCTCCCGCCACTCAGGAATTCCGTATGAGAGCCCTGGTTCAAGTCCAAGTGCTCTGCTTCCAATCCAGATAATCCGGGAAAGCAGAAAGCCGTGGGCCACACCGTAGGGTCCTCCACCTCTAGGGGAGACGAGGGTGGAGTGTTTGCCTCCCGCCCGCAGCTCGGCCCCACCCTAGCCAGGGCAGCCATTTGGAAAATGTGCAGAATTGAAATGAAAACGGGATGACCATGGCTCACTCATAATGTAACACTTGTTATTGTTGTAACTCCTGCTTTGCTGGCTTGGCTATAAAACTGAATGAGACTGTGAAGGCTCCGAGGCCGAGCCTCCCGTGGGACCTTCAGCACGAATGGTTCCCAGTTGCCAGGGATTCAGGTCCAAGGCCGGTTATCTCACGGATGTTGTCCAGGCCTGAGTCTGGTTATCTGCACTGCCGGACCGAGGGAGACGGGCACGGGATGCCCAGCTGACACAGGCAGGGAACGCACGATGCCTCCTCTCCTGCTACACTATGCAAGTCATTGCAAACCGCCCTTATATGAACCCTGTAAATGTGCTGTCGGGGGCCGCACTCCGGCAGGGGTGTTGGTCAGACAGTCGGTCGGACGGTTGCTGTGCCTCCCGCTGTAATTATAGCCTGTTGTGTCTGTCTCTGGTGTAATATTCTGTTTAAGCAGCCGAGTAGTCGACAGACCAACTTAATGAAAACCAGCTGTTAAAGGGAAATGTTGGTGCTAGAGATCGCTCCCTCGTCTCTGACTCCTCAACTTCTTTCGTTTGTCCTGACTGTCCCTCTGATCCCATAGTACTTAGAGAGCTGTGCCGCAAAAGACAGTAGACCACGTAAGTTAGCTGAGTTTGTAACTTGCGGTTCTTTAAGCCCATTTTTCAACGGTGAGCCAAAGAAAATGTCCCTCCGTTGCCACCTGTTAATGATACCAGAGCAAGAGAAAGATCCCTATATGGGCACCAGGTGGAGTTTCCAGTCCTTGGCAACCCGCCACTTCCCAATCTAAGGCTCACCTGCTTGTGGCCCATGAGGGGGAAAAAACAGTCCAATGGACAGATGCCACTCAATAGGGTGCCTCGGGGAATCCTGCTGGGTGTACAAGGTGTGGAGACGGAGGATGCACGGCTCCTTGGCTCCTGCATCAGATACGGACTGTGAGGAGCTTACTTGGGGAGTGCGTGGGCTTCAGCTCAGGGGGAGGGAATTAAGTGCGGAGTGATCAGACAGATAAGGTGTATGTATTCCATAGATCTTGTGAACAAATTTAAATAAGTAGCTCTGCCACTATAGATGATCTAGATGAAGAGATATACGCAAATAGAAAAAGAATGGGGGGAGAACAAAAAGCTAGTGGTTAATAGGAAAGAGAATGATAAATTACAAGAAATGCAACAGCAGGAGGAAAGAAGGCACTGCCAGCTGGGAGAAATGAAGGAAGGTTAGCTGACTGAAGACTGATGAATTTTGAGTAGCATACTAGACAGCAAAGATACAGAAAGGGGAAAACTTCGGCTGTTGGCACGTGGTAATACTCTCGACGGTATGTCAAATGTTTGAGAGAGGAGAGCCGCCGGCAGCAATGAAATGCTAGGGTAACCAATCAGGCTGCCTATAGGAATGAGAAATGTAGCACTGATAAAACAAGGCAGTTATTCCCTGAAAGAGGATGCTTCTCTTTTCCGCTCAGACCCTTGGACTTAAGGGTTCAAGGTAAAACGCCACCTGTAATCCAGTGTGTATTAATCTATCGAGTTTCTATGCAACTGTCCCAGTGGTGTAGTGTAAGAATTCATCACGAGACGATCTGCTAAGCTGCTAATGAAGGGGGACAGATTTAACCAGGAACGACACGGATGCGATTCCCCCCTTGTGCTTCCGAATGGCAAGGCACACACAGGGCAAAGGGCGTGGCACTAAGGCAACACACAGAAGCTTTCCAGCGGGGCTTTGGGACAGTCCGCCGCCGCCGGGGGACCTTCAGGCTACGAACAGGAGCGAGTCGTGCTCAACCGGGCCGCCAGATTCGAGAAAATGCAGACAAGGCCGAAGAGCCGTGAGCTCCTCAAGCAGCCGCCTCTTGGATGCAGCAGGGACAATCTCCGGGTGTGGCCACAGCGGCCAGCACGACCCTCCGCTTGCAGCGGGGCTGAGGTGGCCTGAAAAAGCTGCCTCGTTCGGGGACCGCTTTTTCCTTAACGAGCTTGTCTTGACAACGCCAAGCGTGCGCCGTGCCTGGCTTTAAATTCTAGAATTTACCTCTCGGAGACCTGCCGCCGGGACTGCCGGCGCCCGCCACCGCCACGGAGCTTCCCCTCACAAGAGGGAGCCCTCGCACTCAGCAGCGCTCGCTCGCGGCCTCCGGAGCGGCCTGGGCGCCTCGGACAGCAGCCCGCCTCCCGCGTCACCCCGCCGCACGCCACGCCCCGCCGCCGGGCGCGGCCACCCGCTGGCTCCGCCCCCCGGAAGGCGCGTCACGCGGCCCCGCCCAGCGGAGGGCGGGCTCGGCCGGCGCCTCCGCCTCACGTGACGCCCTGGGCGTCAGCGAATGACAGAGCGTGCTGGGGAATTTCGAATGTAGTCGCGCGGGTGGCGGGCGGCTGGAGCTCCGCGCGGGGAGTCGGGGCGCCCCGGAGCGCGGGGAGCGCGCGCGGCAGCGGCGGCGGCGGAGCTCGGGGCGTCCTGGGATGTGAGGAGCTTGCTTAGCTGCGGCACAGGCAGCGGCCAAGGTACCGTCTGGGACGCCGCGCGAGCCGAGGGCCCCTTGGGCCTACCTCCGGCAGCCCTGTTCCTTCCGGAGAAGGAGGCCTCAGGGTCTTCTAAGAATCGCACAGGGTCAAGTTTCTAACTCATGGTCTTAAGATCGTCCTAAATAGGGTGGGAGGCCTGAAGCTCTGACTGCTCTTTCGTGTAAAATGGGACACGACCCCCGTTCCTCGCGGAAAAACAAACAAGAAAGAAAAATGCTTTTATTTCTTTAACGATGTGTTATAGCAGCGTTTGCGGTCGTTTGCCGCGCGACGCCCCGACATCTTGGGCTTGTCAAGGCTTGTCCCTTGCTCTCCGGGACTGTGCAGAGAGAGCAGTGGAGACCAGGCCCCGCCTGGCTGCCCCGGCGCCAGAAGAAGAGAATTGTAGACAAAGATCAAAGCCTTGAATTCAGACCCCTTACCCAAAGCCTAGGTGGGCACGGAGACCGATCGTCCCCGTGTCACCCTGGTCTCTGCCTTCATTCCTTCTTACCACACCCCCTGGACGGATAGCAAACTTCTCATACCACCACGTTTCTTCTGTGACGTTAATTTGGTTAACTGTCCCGAAGCAAACTGAGCAAGTCTTTGTATTTAAAATATCCTGGTCTGAGTTAACTTAATCTGCTGGCGTCCAAAAACATCTCAAAGTGAACTTTCCAAACTTCAGGGTGGTGGGCACCTCCCACCAGTGCTTTCAAAAACAGCTGCACTTGCTCTGCCGTAATTGCCCCTGGGGATGGCGGCTATCCACGGATAGCAAGACAATATGGAAGTCAGAGCTGCAGCCTGCATTTGAGACCCAAGACACTGACTGCCTTCAGGAAAACAGAGGCCGGGAAAAATAACCAAGAACATGTAAGATTTACAAAAACGAGGAGTGGAGATATATATACATATTTTGTGAGGAAATGGTATGCATAAATGTTATGCAAAAGATGTTTTTAATGTTCAGAACTGCCAAGATGCAATGTAAGGTAACAATATTCCTTCTTGGCATGCTGAGGTTCTTGGAGCTACAGCAGTGAAGGATGAAGTTACTTACATATTAATAGTGTCATGACACGCTTGCCTGCTTTTAACTGTACATACAGTAATTATGCAACATCTGTGTGCCTTGCTCATAATTCACAGGGACACAAAAGGCTGTTGTGTTCCTGCTCTTTTTCAGTTGCCTGTCCAAATCCTGTAGAGATACTAGCTGATCTCAGGATCTCCTTGACTTTCTGGAGAATGTGTGACCGTGCGTTAGGAGAACAGAAAGAGAGGGTGTGGTACAGTGAATGAGAAGAAACACATGGGACAAAGCAGTAGCATTCTGAATGTGCATGTTATTTAGGTAAGAGAACTGGATTTAAAGAAACTAGAATTTTCCTCAGGCCGAAGTTGCCAGATCAATTCTTTGTGGAGACAGCCAGGAAGGACCTGGACATCACTGGCCTTTCCACAGTATGAGAGTAAATAACCTGATCTGATAAATGTTTGACTGTAGGAGAGCCTGAAAGCAAAACCCAGATACATGGTACCTTAAAAATAATGCTGTAGGTACCAATGTTGTAGTACAGTGGATTCTGCCTCCAGCATCCTATCTGGCCGTCAGTCCTAGCTGCTCCAGTTCCAGGCTGTCTCCCTGCTGATTCCTGCAGTAGAAGGTGGCCTGCGTCCTAGGGCCCCTGCACCCACGTGAGAGGTCCAGAAGATAGGGCCACCTCCCTGGCTTCTACCTAGCCCGGCTGCAGCCGCTGCCACCATTTGGGAAGCGACCCAGTGGATGGAAGATTCTGTCTTCTCTCTGTAACTCTGACTTTTAAGAGTAATACTAATTTTAAAACCTTGGCAATACTAAAACAAACAAAAAATGCTATAAGCCCAGACATTGAAAGTTGGTCATAAATGTTGTCTGTTAGAAAATTCTATAATAACGTCAACTGGAATAAGGATTTCCCATAGTGTCTGCCATATCGTAAGCCCCCAGTGAATAGTGGTGAAAGAATCAGCATGTGGCATAGTGTGAATCATTGGGTTGGAGCTCTGTGCAGTAAAGGTTTCCGGTAAGGCACCGGAGTAGGCTCAGTATAGCAGAAATATTAGTGAGAATTTAAAACTGCAAAATGAAAGTTCATTCCAGGTAAGCCTGTATATAACCCATGCTTTATAAACCTGTGTTTCCTGAATCTTACATTTTATATCTGATAGCACTATCTCTCCATACGATGAAATATGTTTGTTGTTTTAAATTCGTAGACAGAAAATGGCAAAGGAAAGATCCCTGAAGAAATCTTTTCAAGATAGTCTTGAAGACATTAAGAAGCGAATGAAAGAGAAAAGGAATAAGAATTTGGCGGAGCTCGGCAAGCGCAGGTCTTTCACAGTCGCGCCATGCCAGATGAGCAGTAAGAGATTTTTTTATGTTGGCCTTTCACATCACTTTTTTTAAGGTTTAAAACTGATAGATTTTTTTTAATCTCCTTTTAGGCAACGCTTCTACAATGCTGAAAAATTACCAAGATAACAATAGGATGTTAGTTTTGGCTTTGGAAAATGAAAAATGCAAGGTAAAAGAAGCCCAAGAAACCATCCTGGAGTTGAGAAAACAGTGTTACTACCTTACCTATCAACTGTATGCCTTGAAAGAAAAACTCAGTTCACAGCAAACCAAAGAATCTACTCAGGTATTTTCATTACAGAAACTCAAGTTGTGGTCCAGGATTTTTATTTAGTGCTTCTTAACTTTTCTGAGTAATTAAACTATGTCCAGTTGAGCATGGAAGTATTCAAATGTTTTTAGAGAATAATTGTTGTGTACTAGTGTTGGCTAAATAGGAAAGACTGTGTCTTAGTTCCCAGGCAAAAAATATTCAGAATAGTTTGCTGACTAAAATTTTAATTGGGTTCTGTATGTGTACAAGGCTGTAAGGAATGGATTTGGCTGTGGTTCTGGTCAAAATGGAATATGTATACAGAAGGCTTGCTTTAAGATAGTGGCTGTATATTAATCTTGAGAAGAATAATATTGCCAGTTTCCAGGAATGTTATATAGGGCAAGAAAAGAAGAGCAAGGGCCCAGTGTTGATCAAGTGCTAGGATTCTAGGATTCCTTATGGGTGCCAGTTTGTGTCCCTGCAGCCCCATTTCCCATCCAGCTCCCTGGGGAAGCAGTTAAGGATGGCCCAAAGCCTTGGGACCCTGTACCTATGTGGTAGACCTCATAGAAGCTGCTGGTTCCTAGCTTCGTAATGGCTCAGCTCCAGCTGTTGCGGTCACTTGGGAAATGAATCAGTGGACAGAAGCTCTTTCTCCTTCTTCGTATATCTGCCTTTCCAATAAAAGTAAATAACTCTTAAAAAAATTCCTTATCCCAGGAACGACAGTTGTATTAGCAGTTAGTACAGACGGCCAGATAAGCAATCCAGACCATCATGATTGGAGAAGAGATTGAAGGGGAATTTGAAAAAGAAATTAAAGTTACCTTTCCATTTACAGAAGTCGATGGAAGGTTCTTACTTCCCTGTAACCAACAATGATTCCTTATCTTAACTGAAAAAGACATGTGCAACATGTATGTGCTGGAATTGTCTTCAGAAGCTTCAAGGAAAAGATAGGTAAAAACTATACATGGGCTGCAAAAAAAAATTTAGCATCAAAAAATCTGCCCTTCGGTTCTACTTGTGCATGAACCTGCAGCATGTGCACATGCAGTGTAGTTGAGAATTGCCCCATAAATGTGAGTGCTTCAGCTTCATATGAGAGTAGACTATTTCTAAACAAATTTTTTAAAGAAAATAAAAAATTTTTAAGATTTATTTATTTTTATTGGAAAGGCAGATTTTAAAGAGGAGAAACAAATAGAGATCTTCTGTCTACCCGTTCCTTCCCCAGATGGCCACAGTGACTGGAGCTGAGCTGACCCAAAGCTGGGAACCAGCAGCTTCTTGCTGGTCTCCCCTGTGGCTGCCGGGGCCCTAAGACACGGTCATCCCCTGTTGCTTCCCCGGCCATAGCAGAGAAGTGGATCAGAAGTGGAGCAGCCAGGAAACGAACTCGTGCCCAGATGGGATGCCAGCGCTAGCACGTGGAGGATTAACCTGCTAGTGTCCTCACTAGCACTAAGAAAGTAGTCTTTGCCAACTTTTTTTCCTTATTCAGTCAACTCTTAAGGGAGAAATAATCCCGCCAAAGGCGTTTAAGTCTTCCTCCTCCTTTCCCTATTTTTCATTGATACCACATGGAAATAGTATGAAATGAATATTCAATGATATCATTAGAAAAATCCTATTCTTACAAACCCTGTAACATTCATTAGTGACGTTTGAATATTAAAACGTATTGTTTGGGGTGGATTTTTAGCCTAGCTATTAAGACAGCACTTAAGGAGATCAAACCAGTGCAGCTAAGCAATTGGTCAAAGAAAAAGTGGAGAAAGAAGCAAAACAACAAAAAGATTAGAAATGTGAAAGCTGGAGATGGTGGAAAGTATGCTGTTCAAAAGCAGGCTGAGCTCGTGCAGGAGCCACGCTTGATGTCCCAGATTGCCAGCGCAGGCTGCAGGCCGCCGCACCGACCTGCCGCACGTCCTGGAAGGTGAGGAAGACTCGGAAGAAGCTGGACAATGTCAAGAAGCACGTGTGGCACTGGACTCGGTCAAGCTGGAAGCCTGACACTGGCCTGCAATCAAAGCTTGGAGCTTCTTCTGGGTCTCCCACACAGGTGCAGGATACCAAGAACTTGGGTTGTCCTCTACTGCTTTAAGAGGCCATAAGCAGGGAGCCAGATGGGAAGTAGAGCCGCCAGCACACAAACCAGTGTCTGTGTGGGATGCTGACATTATGAGCAGAAGATTAGCCATTGAGCCATCACACCAGACCTCTAATAGATCTTAAAATAGATTATAGGGCCTGGCGCGGTGGCACAGTGGTTAAGGTCCTCGCTTTGCACGCCCGGGATCCCATATGGGCGCTGATTCTAAGCCCGGCAGCCCCGCTTCCCTTCCAGCTCCCTGCCTGTGGCCTGGGAAAGCAGTCGAGGACGGCCCAAAGCTTTGGGACAATGCACCCACGTGGGAGACCCGGAAGAGGCTCCTGGCTTCGGATCAGCATAGCATCAGCCCTTGCGCTCACTTGAGGAGTGAATCATCGGACGGAAGATCTTCTTCTCTGTCTCTCCTCTCTGTATATCCACCTTTCCAATGAAAAAAAATAATAAAAATAAATCTTTAAAAAAAAAATAGATTATAAAAGACATGTTACAGAGTGAGGCAGAAAGATCTTCCGTCTGCTGGTTCATTTCCCAGATGGCCACAAGCCAGAGCTGAGCCTGTCTGAAGCCGTAAGTGCAGGATCTTAAGTGCTGTGAGCCATCCTCCGCTGTTCTCCCAGGCCATAAACAATGATGAGAAGTGGAGCAACTGGGACACAAACTGACGCCCCTATGGGATCGCAGCACTTGTAGGCAGAGGATTAGCTAGTTGAGCCACCGTGCAGGGTCCCTCACACATTACTTAATGCACATTTCCCATGAAGTTTTTTGAAGATACTTCATGTACTCGCACCTTGTTCTTTTCCCAATTTTCTCTCCTATTCTAGTAGATAATAAGAGCATGCAAGTTAGTTTGTTTTTTGACTGTGTAGTCTCAGTTCCTACATTAGTGCCTGGAACCATGATGAATGCAGTGTATAGAAGGATACATTAAAAAATCATGGAAAACAGAATTAAAAGGTAAGCTACCAGCAGTGCCAAAAAAAAAAAACAAACTATGAATTTCAATTTCAAACTTTTTCCCAAATTAATAAACTTACCTCTTAATTTCATTTTTTTTTTTTTTTCCAAATTAAATGAATGCTTTGTAACTGTTTTGTTTGACTGCACTAACAGGCCCAGGAACTGTGTCCCTCTGGAATGGACCCCGGTGGCGATGAGAGCTGCAAGGATTTGTTTCCGAAGGATTTACCGTTAGTACCAAATCATTATTGAGTATGAATACTAAGGTTGATTTCTGTGGCTCATTTATGACCAAATTATCACTATACGTAATCATATTTGAAGTCTCATGCTGTCTGGAGAATGTATTCAAGAAGTTTATGTGTTGGAATTATAAATAACCATGTGAAAGTTTTGTTTTTCTTGCATTTAGTTACTTCCTAGATGTCTAGGACTTATATTCCTTATAAATTTTACCAAAATTCTTGAATTCTCTTTAGTTAGCTTTTTCTCTAACATGCTTTTATTACAAGAAGGATTGCTTATTAAAATTATGATATTTTTGTCATTCCTACAAATAGTTTGATTTATAGAAAAATACACAATAAGACATCAAATTTAGTATAGCTGCAAACAGGTAGTGATCTGGTTGCTTTTCCCATCAGATCCATATACTGTCTCCTTTTGGATCAGGTATACTTTGTTTGCTTACAAATTATTGGGATTTAATTACATACTTTAAAATACATGTGTCTTAGTTCCACAGTTCAATGAATTTGACTCATACATGCAGCTGTTGAACCAACGTATCTGTTAAGACAGACATTCCCTCCTGTAGCCCAGGATGTCTCGGTCTTGGCACTGTTGATCTTGCGCAGCAAATAATGCTTGTGGAGGGCTGGTCTGTATGTTATGGGATGTTTAGCCACATCCTTGGCCTCTGCCAGTGACATTCCTGTCCCTAACTTCTGAGAGAGAAAAATAACTGCAGACGTGGCTAAGTGTCTCTTGGGAAAGAAGCATAGTTGTGCTGGTTTAGAATTACTGCTATAGGCAATTCTCTTACCCCCTTCTCCTTGCAGAAGCAACCACTGATTTAATTTCTGTCGCTATAGATTATTTTTACTCATTAGCAGTTTTCAAACAGTGAACTTTAAGCTGTTTATGTTATGGACGAAAAATAAAATGAGATAATCAAGTTCTTGAAAGATTTCTAAAGTAGTTAAGTCCCACTCGTGCGTGTTACCTGAATCGATGTTCAGTTTTGGATGTCAAGAGCACAAAGTCTCCATGGAAAATAAAATTGTCTTTAGAATGAAACTACCAATAATAAAATTACAGCATAAAGAAAATTTGTTTTGTGAGCCAACAAAGATTTTAAAGGAAAATGAACAGTGTTTAACAACTTCAGAAAAGTGTGATAAACACCATAAAGACATGTATTACCAATCATCATAGCTGTGCTAGTGATGAAGCGAGCTAAAAAGCTGAGGAATGAAACTACATGTTTTTAAAATGTTAATTCTGATTGGTTGTTCTTCCAGTCATATGAAATTGATTTTTTTTAATGTTGGAACTATTCAACTTGATTTTTTAGTTCTTCCGATAGGAGTTGACTGTCAGTCACCGAATCAGCCTTGCTATAGTTAGCCCATAATTGTTTGGTTTCCTTTGATACGTAACTAATGTATTCATTTGAAATAGAATTATAAATAATACTAAAGGACAGATTAAAAACAATTGATTCTATTTTGTAGTTTCTAAATTCTTCTCTTTCTTTGATATTTTCTAAGGGATGTGGCTCTTCAAGAAATTGACCTTCCAGGACAAAAAGAATCATTTCAAATTGGAGGAAATCAAGGTAAAAAAAAATTAAATATTATCAAGGGCAAGATCTTTAGGAGAACAAGTAGTATAGTTAAATTTCTGTTTTTTCTTATTATTATTTAATTTTTAACATCTGTACACCCATTCTATTAAAAGCAATTTGGTCATTTTTACTTATAATAATAATTTAAAATTACATCTATCCATTTTGTCATGAGCTCTACGATGGATTAAACTTTGATATTTTATGCACAGTATCTCATTTCACACTCAGAATAATCTTAAGAGATGGTGCATTCACAATTTATATAAAATCAAAATCTTCCTGCCTCTCTAAAAATACAGGTTGTACTTCATACTAAAAAGTTTCTCAGTTATCCAAATATTACTCTCTTTTTTTTTTCCAAAGAGTAGCCTAGCTCTGCTCTCAATATATTTATCCCACATTGAAATATGAGATGCTTTTCCTCTTGAACCTGTACCCACAGTTACATAGATACTATTCAATTTTGTTTTCTTTTTTTTTTTTAAGATTTATTTTTAATGGAAAGGCAGATTTACAGAGAGAAAGCCCTTCCATCTGCTGATTCACTTCCCAAGTGCAGACAGCAGACTGGAGCTGAGCCGACCTGAAGTCAGGAGCCAGGAGCATCTTCCAGGTCTTCCATGCGGGTACAGGGTCCTAAAGCCTTTGATCCATCCTTGACTGTTTTCCCAGGACACAAGCAGGGAGCTGAATGGGAAGTGGAGCAACCAGGACAGGAACTGGTGCCCATGTGGGATCCCAGCAGGTGCTAGCACTTGGAGGCAGAAGGTCAGCCAGTTCAGCCATGGTGCCTGGTTGAATACTATTCACATTTATTTTAAAGCTTGATTTCTTTTTCTTGGAAAGTCAGACTTACAGAGAGAAAAGATCTGCAGCTGGTTCACGCCCCCAAGTGGCCGTAACAGCTGGAGCTGAGCCCATCCAAAACCAGGAGCTGCTTCTGGGTCTCCCACATGGGTGCGGGGTCCCAAGGCTTTGGGCCATTCTGCTGCTTTCCTAGGCCACAAGCAGGGAGCTGGATGGGAAGTGGAGCAGCTAGGATATAAATACGACTCTTCAGTTGTGTTTTTAATGCTGAATTCTAAAACTTTTTAAAATCACTTTTCCAGCAAGTGAAACTGTTTCATTTATTTTTTGGCTTCTCAGAACAAGTGCCTGCTGTTCCTCAGGACACACTGGGAACTGATTTTGACTCAAGTGAAACAAAATCTAGTGATAATGTCTTACCTAAAACTGTATCTCTGCGTCGCCATTTGAAAAAGCATTCTAATAGTCAAAGTTACGATGATCGCTTGGATGACTTTGGAACCCATCTTTTGGCAGACAGTGCTTCTGAGATGGAAGGAGTTAGATATGTGGATCAACTAGCCAACCATCACAAGCCTGAAAAGGTAAAACAAGATGTGTGGAACAGGGACGAGATGAATGCATCGCCAAAGCCGATTCTCCTGGGAAAGTTCACCAAAGTACAAGAAGTCGCTTCGGAACCTAAATCTAAACATACAGAAAGTAAGCACAGAGATACGCAGAGGGGGCAAAAAGAAGAAAAGAGGAAAGCCAAAAGAAGGAGAAAATCAAAATCTTTTTTAAAGTATAAAGGACTAGGGTGTAAGCATAAAAGTAAAAAACCTGTTTGCAACAAAGAATTAAGTAAGTCTGTCGGTTCTGGTGACGCTTACAATTTCAGTTTGGAAGAGGGCATTCATCTGACTCCTTTCCGACAGAAAACAAGCAGTGATTCAAATCGCGAAGAAAACAGCGGGAAGGTTGACGTGAACGGCTGCGATTCGAGTCTTTCTGGAGATGACTCCGATGACCTGTACTTGCCCCCCGGCAAGTCGGTTCAAAATCTCTCTGATGAGTCAGACAGAATCACGAGACCTCGATCTAAGAAAGCATTAAAGTATGCTGATGAAAAAGAAACGGAGGCTTCCAAGGATGAAAAGGAGAAAGAGGATTCTGTGCCAGCAGAGAGTCCTCCTGCCAGTAAGTGATCTTGTTGGCCTGCGTTTTTAATGTTGATGATGAATGACCGCTGCCAGGGCTTCCACACTGTGCTTGCCGGCTGCTTCTCCGGGGGTGGTTAGAGACCCGCCATCTGCCCCTGGGGAAGTTACACTGACGAAATGGCGAGGCTGTGGGGGAGGGGGTCCCACTTGTTCCTCTGACCTACTTCAAGCTGATTTCAATCCTCTTTCACAACAAATACTACCTGCAGTAGGGACAGCAAATTTCCATTTTCAGTAAATGGATGGTTAAATAAGATTATTTACACCCAAACCTGAAACATACTCCTGAAAATGAAATTGTACTTGACTCCAGTGACTGACCCTTTTAATGTTTTCAGTTTCTGTTTGATAGAAACCATGATTTGAAATAATTATCTAGTTAAGGAAGGTAGCCTAAGAGGAACTAGAAGCTATTTCCTCAATTAACAAAAAGTATTATGTTTTTTGTAAAACATCCCTAAGACATCTAAAAATGGTGGCTCAGAAAATCTTTTTATTGTGCTGAAAATAGGTATAATCCAAATGTTGGTAATTCAACATTCACCTGTCCACAATCTCATCTGAGACTCTTAGTTGGTAAAGCCATGCTCCGTCAGATGGTATCATTCACACGATTCTCACGTTATTCCATTTGGTTCTCAGAACAACTCTGTGGGGGCAAGTGTTGTGGTGCCCCAGGTGAAGCCACCACGTGAAGCCCCTCTGTCATATTGAAGTGCCTGGGATAAAGCGCTGCTTCTTCCAGGCTGGCATCCTGCCAGTGTATGCTCTGGGAGGCCGCGGGTATCTAAGTGCTTGCATCCCTTTGACGGAGTTTTTAGTTCCTAACGTCAACCAAGCCCTGCCTTGCCTCAAACAACCATTTGGCTCTATGGACCAGAGATGAAAGACACTCTCTCACTCACTCATTCTCTCTCTCTCTCTCTCTCTCCTCTCCCTTTCAAATACATAAACTTCCTTTTTCTGTGAAGTATTAGGAATCATCATGCTTGTTTTGTTATAAGAAAACTTAAGCCTAAAAAAGTGAAGAACTTTCTGTTTTATTTATTGTGTGAAAGACAGAGAGAGAATCCCCATTTGCTGACCCATTGCCCACAGCAGCCCACGCCAGGCAAAACGAAGGAAATCCATCCAGGTCTCAGTGGCAGAAACTCACCCACTTGAGCCTCACCTGCTGCCTCCGGGTTAGACATGAGCTGGGAACTAGAACTCAGAGCTGTGTGCTGTCGTGTGGGGTGAGGCCTGCCAAGCAGTGTCCTGACCACTAGGCCAAGCATCCGGCCTTGATTTCAGCAGCTTCCTAAGTTGGCCAGTTAAGCAAGAGGAACATTTCTTTAAACGTAGTACAGTGATAGGATAAATCAAACACAATTAGCAAAATAGCTTTATTGAAGCTGAGTAACAGGATTCATTACATGTTATGGCCATTTTTATGTGCATTTAGAAGTATTGTTTAGTGATTTTTTTTAAAGATTTATTTTTTTATTTTATTGCAAAGTCAGATATACAGAGAGGAAAATTTTCCATCCAATGATTCACTCCCCAAGTTTCCACAATGGCCAGAGAGCTGCGCTGATCCGAAGCCAGGAGCCAGGAACTTCCTCCAGGTCTCACACGTGGCTGCAGGATCCCAAGGCTTTGGCCGTCCTCAACTGCTCTTCCAGCCCACAAGCAGGGAGCTGGATGGGAAGTGGAGCTGCCGGGATTAGAACCGGCGCCCATATAGGATCCCAGCACTTTACTTTGATTTACTTTTATTAGAAAGGTAGATTTTTACACAGAGAGGGCAGACAGAGAGAGATTGTCTGTCTGCTGGGTCCCTTCCCAAAAGACTACAATGACCAGAGCTGAGCTGATCTGAAGCTGGGGTGCCAGGAGCTTCTTCCCAGCCTACCGCATGGTATTAGGAGCCAAAGGCCTTGGACTATCTTCCACTGCTCTCGCAGCTCATAAGCAGGGACTGGATCAGGATTGGAGCAGCCAGAGCACAAATCAGCAAGCACCCTTACGGGATGCCAGCGCTTGCAGATGGATGATTAGCCTGTTACACCAACATGCTGCTTCCATATTAAGTTTTTTTTTTTTTTTTTTAAAGATTTATTTTTATTATTTTTTCATTGGAAAGGCGGATATACAGAGAGGAGAGACAGAGAGGAAGATCTTCCGTCCGATGATTCACTCCCCAAGTGAGCGCAACGGGCCGATACTATGCCGATCCGAAGCCAGGAGCCTCTTGCGGGTCTCCCACGCGGGTGCAGGTTCCCAAAGCGTTGGGCCATCCTCGACTGCTTTCCCAGGCCACAGGCAGGGAGCTGGAAGGGAAGCGGGGCTGCCGGGATTAGAACCGGCGCCCATATGGGATCCCGGGCGTGCAAGGCGAGGACCTTTAACCACTTGCGCCACCGCGCCGGGCCCTATATTAAGTTTTTAAAAGAAGACGCTCAAAAGTAGTGTTCGTCAGAGTTTGGTTCCTAGGACCAGTTTTGGCGTCACCTGCCAGCTACACAGAAATGTGGACTCGGGCCATACCTCATTCCCGGAAATCAAAGTCCACATTCTCTCTGGATTCATATTCTCACTAAAGCTTGGAAACATTATTCTGGAATATAACAGTGGAGCTGATATTATATATCTGGCAACAACAAAACACTATTGGAAACCCAGATAACACTGGATCATATGGCTGGTTAACATAAAATAATTTCAAACTTATCATTTTCTAGTATAGTTTTCTTTCTAAAGCTCCTTAGATTATGTTGCAGTGTCCTCACTTGGGCACCTCCTCCTAATGTAAACGAAGTTACAAAACTGAGTAACTTAGATGTTTATGATAGGTAACGTTTCAATATATTAGCTTTACTGGGATTCATCCTGTTCATAGAAAGGCTATGACTTAGAGTTTCTTTAATAAGGTGAATGTAACTGCCTTTAAAAGACCTTAAGGAGCCATGTGTATGGCTGGGGTGGTGTCATAGTGGGTTCAACTGATATCCTTATGGGCACTGATTTGAGTCCCAACGGCTCCACATCCAAACCAGCTTCCTGTTAATGACCTGGGGAAGCAGTGGTGGATGGCCCAAGACCTAAGCTCCCTGCCACCTATGGAGTCCCAAAAGAAACTCTTGGCCCCAGCTTCCGGCCAGCCTAACGCTGGCTATCACAGCCATTTGGGGAGTAAGCAAGTGGGTGGAATATTTCTCTCTGTGTCTCTCCCTGTCTGTGTAGCTCAGACTATAAAGCAAAATAAATCTTCAGGGAAATTAAATGTTTTTGAAAAGCCACTGGCCATAAATGTAGTTATTGAAGGAGACTTCTTGGTAATTTTAAATGTCAAAGCGAAACTAAAATGAAATTCTTAAGACAGGCGTTTGGTGGAGCAGTTCAGTGGTCCTTGGGATACCAATATCCCATGTCAGAACTGCCGAGTTCAAGTCCCAGTTCTGCTGCGCTCCATCTTCCTGCTGTTTCACACTCGGGGAGCGGCAGGTGAGTGAGTCTGCCACTCACAAAGGAGACCCGGATGAGGTTTGCAGCTCCTGGCCTTCTCCTGGCCCAGCCCCCGTGGCACTGGGCAAGGGAGCCAGCAGGTGGAGTACCAGTCAGTTCTCTCTGCCTTTTAGATAGGTAATAGTTTTCAATGAAATTTTTTATTTACTCAACTATGCCCAAGCTTTCGCAGAATTTTTAGTATTCTGTTAGTTCTTTGTGTCTATCATAGTTAATATTTCAACATTATTTAGTTGGAAAAGTAAAGAAAAAAAGTGAAAATGTTTAAATAACCTGGTATTAAATACCAGATTTTGTGTCCATATAGGATATATAACTAAGTACAATTTTAGTTTTGGTTCTTGTTTGTTTTTTAGCCATATTCAGTGAAAGGTGTTTTGTAGGTACACCACCGGAAACTCACCAGTTACCTCTTTTGGGCCTGAAGGATATCACCAATACCCCTCTGAATCCTGTAGTGAGAATCAGAAGATTTTCTTTGTCTCCAGAAATGAATACAGAAAGCCCAGCCGTGTCCCTGCCCAAGCGCAGGTGCACAAGCAACGTGAACTACAAGGAGCCCACGCTCGGCTCGTAAGTGTTCACTTTGTAGGAGCTCGTTTTCAACGGTGGGAGGGAGGGAGGTCACAGCTTTGTTCAAGATATGTCTTCTTTGAGGTAAAGAAGCTTAAAAACTCAAGTGAGAACATCAAGTTTGGCATAGTTTATGGTGACTTCATACTGAAAAATTAGTATTGGGCTACATATAATTTATTATGCCTCACGCCTCTCTTTGTTATTGTAGGAAACTGAGAAGAGGGGACCCTTTTACAGACTTGTTTCTCTTGAATTCTCCTATTTTCAAGCAGAAGAAGGATTCAGGACATTCTAAGAAAAAAAGTGGGAGACAAACACGGTGAGAGTTGGGGTGGATGCTCCCCGAGTCCGTCCCCGACCCCTTTCCATTGTTCCAAGTCAGAGGCCATCAGCACACAGACGAGCTGAGCTCGTCACGAAGTATGCTCTTCACAGGACCGTCATTTATTCATGTTCCTCAACGATGCATTTCAGATGTGGTGTTTTATCTTAGCCTTATGAAATTTAATTTTCCTTTTGCCTAGGAACTGGACTTGAGCACTAATATTGTTTAGATTTCTTATGCTAACACCTTGATTTTATTAAATGCATATGCCACATTTTTGAAATTAATAATTATTCAAATTAAGAAGTTTTAATTATAGTCTCCGGCACCTGTTCTTCCTGTTAGGTTGAGGAGATAGGAGATATATTTTTTAAGGCACGATAAATATTGTTTAAAAACCCTTATATAGTTTTGAGAAAACAAGTCTTGGCATTCAGAGCAGACACATTCCAGGTTGCTTTTGGAGTCCTAGTTGATTCCAGCTGTTGAGTGTCATTATTGAGATGAAATGTGCGAAGGATCTTGATTAGTGGATTGATGATTGTTCAGTCTAAGAGACCAGGTAAGTGACTTTCTGACTGAGTTCTGGGTGTATGTTGTTCAAAACGATTCTACAACAAACACACAAAGTACTACGTCATGGGCTTTCAGGATTGCTCTTCAGTCAGAAATCTCCAAAGTTCTGAGGGACTTCCCTGCAGTTTGACCAGCTAATGGAACATTAGCTCAGAAGGCTTGACATCTGCAAGAATACTTGTACACACCTCTGGAGCTTCTAAATCCATAGATTGTCCAGGTTTTTAAAGTAATAAAAGTTTCTGTAAGATAGCACCTTTGTTCCTTTAGTTCTTTAAATATCAAGAGAGCGTCTGCCTCGCTGTTTTCGTTCCTAGCCTGTGTGATTTTACCAAATTTTTTTGACTACATACCTTTGAATGATCCCTATCATCACAGCCAGAATCCTCTGTAGATTTGGAGCCACATCCAGCATGGATGGTTTGCAAGCTAAGCATGGTTTGTATGTTTTTAAATAGTTTAAAAAAAAAAAAGCAGACACTTGAAATAAATTTTGATGGTATGAAACACTGTGAAACCCAATAATAAACTGCTTATATAAATCTTTGGTCTTGCCTCTTTGGCTATAAAACCTATTTTGCCAATTCTGGTTCTAAAACGTTGACCGTTTTCATCATTGCTTTGTAAATCATGTTCTTGTGACACATTCTCTCACTTTCTTCTTCACCTTCTTCCCCTGCATCCACAGCATCATCCATTATCTTAAAATCGATGTTAACATTTTTGTATTTCCAGTGTGTCTGTACCTGTAGTGTGTATCCTTCAACTTGTTCTGTATTGTATCTTTGTGTATGGGTATTATATTGTACATACAATATATCTTAACTGTTTTTGAGATTTATCCATGTTGGTAGATGTAATTATTCTCATAAATGTACAATATTTTTGTTATATAAATAAAACAGTTCTTTTTAAATATTTCCATTTTTAAATTTTTTTAACAGAAAGGTAGATTTTACAGAGAAGGAAAGACAGAAAGATCTTCTGTCCAATGGTTCACTCCCCAAGTAGCCACAATGACTGAAGCTGAGACAATCCAAAGCCAGGAGCTCAGAGTCTCTTCTGGGTCTCCCACATGGGTGCAGGGTCCCAAGGCCTTGGGCCCTGCTCAACTGCTTTCCCAGGCCACAGGCAGGGAGCTAGATGGGAAGTGGGGCTGCCGGGACAGGAACTGGTGACCATATGTGATCCCAGTATCTGACAGGGATGGGCTAGCTGATTGAGCCATCACACTGGGCCCTGCTTTTTAATTGCATACGAATTAATGTTGCAATATATGCTGTGCATATTACTTTATAGAGTTGACACCTACAAGTCAACTTACCAGCTCCAAGGTGTACTGAGCTCTAAATTTACTGTGGGTTAGCAAATTCTCCACAGTGTTTCTTTCACAAAGAGGGTGTCACTCTCCCAATGACAATTTACACATTACAGGGTCCCCACACATTGCTAATCTCTTGGTGTTATTAGATATTAAAATTCACCAAGCTGGGATAGGGTTTCAGACTTGCGATGAAGACACCTGTTACACATCAGCAGTGGTTGGAAATGTGCAGCCATGGCTCTGCACTACCCCATGGCCATGGGCCCCAACAAGGACCTCAGGTGACCAAGAAAGTGAGCAAACCAGGGCACAGCCACCATTACATCACAGGCACCTGACCAAGCACACCAAGTTCCTGCTGGGCATGATCTGGGAGGTGTGTGACTTTGCCCCCTCCTAGCACCGCGCCAGTGAGCTGCTCAAGGCCTTCAAAGACAAGCTGGTCCTCAAGTTCATCAAGAAGAGAGTGGCACCCACATCCAGGCCAAGAGAAACCAGGAGGAGCTAAGCGGCCCCCTGACCACCATGAGGAAGGCTGCTGCCAGGAAAGACTGAGCCACCCCTTTGCAGTTAACCTTTCTGGGCCCTCAAAAAAAGGAAAAAAAAAAAAAAAAAACCCAGACATCCTTCTAAATGGGCACATCCTCCTGTATGGGAGTACTTAATCTGGAACTACAACGTCCTGTGAGTACACACCTGAAACACAGCAGTGATGGCTCAAGTACTTGAGTTCCTGCCAACTGAGTGGTTTATTAATAATAACTAATAAGTATTAATAAGCCAGTGCCACCTGGCTTTACCATATCATCACTGAAACATAGAAAAGCGAGTAAGAGAGAGAATGCATCTCCTGGCACATTCCCCAAACGGCCACAATGGCTAGAGATGGATTTCTACAATACTCCTCACAAACACAGCTGTTCTAAATACCTTCAATAAAATACTGCTGAAGCGCCAAGGATTAAAGTTATACAGCCATTAGGCATCACCCAAATCACATCTTTGCCCTGTTCCCCTCCGTCGGCTAGAAAAAAAACACCACCAGATTGGGAACTTTTTAAAATATAATTTAAAACTATTTTGTACCAGTACAATATATTAATTTTACAAATGTAAAATTTTATCAGCTGTTAAAGCATTTGCAAAACCACATTCTACTTCAGCTTTATTGCACAATATCTATAAGAAAATATTAATTTTTAAATTAGAAAACATAAAAATGCTTTCGATATAGAAGAGACAATCTCATTTTAAAGACAATATTCTTTAAGAATGTCTACTGAGAAAATAACCAACTTTCACAGGATCCCAAGCTGGACAGGTGCTTCGGCAGATCCGGAACCAAGTACGGTTAAAAACCAGTCCACAATAACTTAATCCAAACTGTGTCATCATTCTTCATAGAATCTAGACACGGCTGAAGATAGTTGCTTATACTTATAAAAAGTGAGGCATTTTTCCATGTGAGCATTCTGTATATTTTGTTTGTATCAAAAACAACACTTCCAACTTCACAGCCATTTGTAGAGGGTTTTTTTTCCCCTTAACATAGACTGTTAATGGTGATTATTTTAAATGATGATTATTTGTCATTTTTATTTCTTTATGCCGATAGAAAACATCGAGACAAATGCATTTTTAAAACTCTGTCCTTTAAAAAAAATCAGTTTATAAATTTGCATCATAAAAATTAGTGTCGAGACCATCAAGATGGCCGGCATGTCTATGGTTGGGTAATAGTTGGTTTTCCCAGATTTGGAATGGCAGAATTCCCACTTTCTTTGTAGTGTCATTAGGAAATCGAAGACAAGTTAATAACAGGTTGTAAATTGATTTTAGTCATGTGACATTAGATCTATTTAGCAATGTACATATTACAATTTTGTAAGGAAACCTTGGTTGAAATTTAATTCACCTCTGATGATAAAGATCGGGAGATGAAAATGAAAATTCATAGATATTTTAGCGATGGACTTGTGCACATTAAAGAAATAAATCCTTATTTATTAGAAAAGGATTCATCATATTAACATGTGTAAACATTACATCTTTCCCTATTAAAATATGTGGAATAAATCTCAAGTGTTTTCAAATTTATGCCTTGGTGGCCTGGGAAATTATCTTATGGAACTTATGGCCTGCATAAGAACAGTCAAATACTAATATTAAACATCTGTGTAGAGAAAATAATTATTAAAATAGTGGTTATGAATTCACAAGCTTGCAGTAGGTAGACAGAATTATCAAAAGTCCAGACGCTTACAAAAATTTTGCATTATTTAGAATTTCTTCTTCAGGAATACAAGCAATTAGTTGCTTCTGTGGAGCTGCATTTTTCAGAACTGCTCAGAGCACCTCATTTAAATGAGTGTTTTTAAAATATATTAAGTCTACAGTGAGACTTCAAATGCATTTCACCTTTTACAGGTTTTTTTTTAAAGTTATGTATCCCTTCCTTTAAAGTCCTTCACAATAAAATAAAAATAGACTCTCACATTCCATTAGAAAAAAATGGAAACATTCATGGTCTGAAAATCTCCTAGACTCCCCCAGTCCTCCTACAATGTGCAAGTTCCTCACACACATGTTTGAGGAAACCCCTGACCATTTACCTGGTAATAGTTGTCTAGTGAACATGCCATAGAAAATTTACATTAATAGTAGTAAATAGATTAAAATCTATTCCATAAAATAAAAATGTTCTATGTCAATTTAAATATATATCTGAACAGCTAAAAGGAGGTTTTTTTGTTTGTTTTTCAAAAGTGCTAATTATCACATTTACAAGTCTTTTCGATACATTTTGCCCAATTTTTTGTAAAACGAAATGCCCTCGCACTAGGCACACTGCTTGATTTCTAAGAAGCAGAGGAGGAAAGATCACTTGTCTATTAACCCAGCTTCCTTAATTTTACTGAAGAAGAACTTCTCCAGGATATTGGCACATTTGTAGTATTCGCTCTCAGGGGGGTTGTACTCTTTGCAGTTGGTGAAGACTCGCTGCAAGTCCGCCATGAATAATTTCTTAGACACGTAGTACCTATTCTTAAGGCGTTCACTCATGGTTTTCAGATCTGCACAGGAAAACAAAGGCATGAGAAATCTTTAACTGTTACATACTAACCGATGCAAGAGTTACTGGGAGGAAATCGATGTTGGTCAGATTACATTTTTATCATTCCAACGCCTTTTTAGAGAAATCTTTACGATAAAGAAAAACAGTTAACAAACCCTTAAGGTTTATTCTTCTGTTAGGTTTTTTTCCCCCTTTCTTTCTTTCTTTCTTTAGTTCTTTCTTGCTTTCTCCCCTGCGCAACCGACCCCCATCTCCCCACTCTCTTGGTAAAATCACAGCCATTATGACATTAAAGCATTAAAGGGACCATTATTAGTCATCTAGTCCAATCCTCTATTCAGCACAAGGAAGCTAAGTAGATTAGCAAAGATAAGTATGATGCACTGACTGCTCTTAGCTATTCATTCAGAACTGCACAGAGGGCTCGAGCTCATGGAGCAGAGCAGGTGGGACACTTGCACTTGGTCATTTAATTATTTAAAACAATCACTGAGTTCATTCCACTAAATCCACTATTTTGCTGTAGTACAGACAGAGCTAAAGTAGGAAAAAATCATAAAGACATCTGCAAATGTACCAGCAACCTCACATAAAATATTTCCAATGAATATTTTCATGTACTATCAGTGAAATAAGAATAAAAAACTTTACTTAATAATCTATTCTCTATAGCGAGTAAGCTTTGTGTGTTTCAAAATATGTCTACTTGTCTTAAGTTGCATTGCTTTTCAAGCGAAAACGTTACTTCAGCTAAATCAGATTACACTGAGATTTCTTCAATCTGCATTTTCTGGATGAAATTTTCAAATTTCAAACAGATTAGAAGATGCTATCATCTATCTTTATG